AGGAATTATCCGCGACAGTCTTTGCAACTTGGGCAAACATGACTCTGTGCCTGCCGGACTAGACCTAACTCACAACTCCTCTCGCCGCAAGGGCAAGTAGATACGTTTTACCCGGTCGAAATCCTATTATCCAAACAGCCATCCCATCGATGTTCGCCTGAGGTACAACTGTCGAGGCATAGAGGGAATCCGAATTCGGCGGAGGAAATCAGGGACCACCACCACACGTCCTCACAAAGCCCAAATTAATAAGGATGGACGCTTCAATCCACGAGGCGATTATTCTGCTGTCCATCCTTAAGCGCAGACGATATCACTGCGACCAACCCACGCCGGAGGCAAGCTACCTCCTTAATTACAGACGTGGACATCGGCTGAATTCCTTGTCGTTCCGCTAACACCCCTTCCGTAGCCGCAGGCAAAGCAGCAGAGGGGGCAGCATAAGGGCTGTCTGGAGGCAACTGGAACCGCTAACTCGCTTCCTCCCTATCATAATCCGCCTATCTCTCTCACCCCCCTTTCTTCCTCCAGCAACGCCAACCTCCCCACTGGTCCCCGCACAAACCACTGAGCTGTTATCACCATAAATCTGAACGGCCGCCACCGCCACGGACAGAGACCATCTGTCACCCCGGTATTCTCTGACAGACGAATAGGGGAAAGCGTTGACACGGGTAGAATGGCCGCAATGAATTCGTTCGCTCTCACTTGTATGAAACTGTGTATGTTTACATCCCTTCAACCTCATAACACTATGACAGAGCTTAGATGACCCGAAACTCAGATGAAAGCTCCCTATTTGGCGGACGTATGTGCTTGACATCATCAAATTTTATTATGGCTGGACGCAAACATCGCGCCCCACCTAACTCTTTTTGAAGACGTCACTTCCACTAAACTTCACCCGACGGAAGTTTAACCGCCGGTTTTGACTAGGCCCACCGTTTGCTCCACAACAGGGGTAGAGCAGGAACGGGGATTTGCACGTGACGTTTATGGTGATAGCAGACTTGCACTGCATCTACCGCACTCCCTCATCCCCCACCTGTGGCCGGTATCAAGAAACAGTCAATAAGACCGGAGGCGGGAGAGGGCACAGGTGGCTGACACGACGTAGGCCCGCACCTAGGCGTATCACTACACCCCCTGGTCCACGAAGTACTGTGACCAGGGTGTTACGCAGTAGGAGAAATGGAGAACGACACGAGCACCAGTCTATCAATTTGAATTAATTGCTTATTCCATCAGTTATTGAAAGCGTTGAACGAACTTTCGGGACCTTCAAATCCTCGGTAAAACGTCCTTGGTCCTTTTTATAACTAGATCAATGTGAATCTAACCATGGAGCAGACAAGTTTAGTACAAGATTTTAAGGGCTTGCAGGATAGATGAAGGCACGCCAATGTTAGCTACATATGTCAGCATTGCGACAACCTATATCAATTTTAGCCGGAGTACTGGGTCTCTAGGCCTGAGAATGAGAAATAGTAGCAAGCTAGCAATTCGACAGTTCTGGACAGGAAGCAGATCATTATCAGTATCGGAAAAATATCTGGATATGCCACCTCCAGCATCTTGGTTATGCCATTTAGTGTGGCTTTTGGGATTTTCCCAAAATGACCAAAAACAGTTTATTCGTTCCCACCAGTTCGGATTTTATATCGTTTGTTCAACTGCAGCAGAAGCTATTTATCGGATCTTCAGCCGCTTTTTCATTCTAGGGTATTCGCTTTTGAAAACTTATAGCCGGCAGCACTGTAGGTCACTGGAGTACATTTCTCTGCCAGCCTTGTATAGGTGTAATTTCTGTGACCATTTCCACTAAGAAAATTTAGACTGGAAATTTTGGGACGTTCTAAGAGGGGACTTCTCGAAGGTCGCAGAAAATAAGAACAAACGACTATTCATCCATGTCGTTTGTCGAAGATGCCATTGGAGGCTTATGCACCCACTAGTGAGAAAGTAAAGATCCCTCCGCCTCCCCCGTTCATTCTAATGCATGAATCAGAGCCAGTAGCAGCTCAGTCTGTTACGCCTCCTCTGCGAATTCAAAATGAAGGCAAAACACTTGGCTGCTACCTCGGAAACACTTCGTGGGTATCGAGCGGAAAAAAACGGTCTAAGACACTGCGCCGATCCGAGACAAGACCCAAACAGATGTGCGGCACACGATGTCTTGGGGGCTTGACAATCGCCGGTCACTGCACCAGATCTCATCGTCTTCAGTCAATTTGATTCCCACAGGACATTGCCGTATCTGAGAGAGAGAGAAGGGTGAGTAAGACCAATCCAGCCAGAACCTAGCGCACACTTTCCTCGTAACAACCTGACGCCCTCCCTGGCTTTGGGGGTGGCATACTGCCGGGGAGCTAGGTCCTACTGAGGACTGAGGGTCAGACTGCGATAGCCCTCTCTTGGGTTGGCAATTATGACAACGCCCAGTTAGGCGAAACCCGAACCTGACACTTGTGTGCGCCGGGACCAGCAGGCGTGTGGTAGACGTCGACCTGGATTCGGGCACACCGGCTACTGCGCCTACATGCTGTACAAGTCCATCTCATAGCTGCACTCTAGAAACAGTACGGAACTCATTGTGAACGAAGGATGAATTGCCCAATATTTTAGAAACTGCCGCTTCTTAAGGACTTAATAAATGACTTGTCCCGCTTTCTAAAGCCGCTCCTTGAGTAGCGTGGCCCGTCGTTCTTCGCAGTATCACTTTGTTTCCGTTATCCTTTGCAAGAGGCGTAAGTCATTATAATTCAAAGCAGGATTTAACAAAGAACTTTGGGAATCAACCACCTTTCTGGACCAATAACGGCGCATACACTAACTCCATAGACCTCGGACTCGGAATACCTCACTTATGTATGGCTGCAACCTTTGTACAGCTGCCGCGTCCTGATTGGGCCTGCAAGGTTGTCAACCTCGTTCGCTGAGCATTCGATTGGCTGACTCGCGCAAGCCGCCATTGTTTGAAAGCATTCTAAAGCTTCATAACTTACCGGCGTCAAAGTGCAGGTCGTCCGGGCTGTTGCCTTTCCGAGGGCCTCGTTAACCTTCTCTTGACGCTTCCCACAAAATCTTCTTACGCTTCGGGTCCCCATGCCCATTATTTGGCCTCCGACCCAAAAGAGCGCGCGACAGAGCGTTAATAGAATAATATAGTACAAGGAAATCGACGCCCGGATGTGGTTCGAACAGCTCTGACAGACGACTGTGTTCCTAACTTCGTCCAATACTAATGATCACATTTATTCAGACACGCACTTTAAGGTGCGTAAAATCAGGTGAGGTCACATTCCTATCTGGAGTTCGGCGCGTACTAATTTTCATTCGCTCAGTTAAAAAGAACCAACTTGTTTCATGTGCATTTCGCAAAACTGTATTATAAAGTTAAGCATAGCCATTTTGCTCAGAGTCCTCGCGCAGGTGACAGTAAAACAAAGATGATCAAACATGAAAACTGATGAGCACAGTTCGCTTCAACGCCGCGCTTAAAACAAGTAACATGTGGCTTAACATCGCAGATGTCGACGACATGTGAGACTACATACCGGAGCGACCCATAGTAAACCATCAACTCGAGCTTTAAATGCCAATGGATATAAATTTAGCCCTGTGCAAATGAGGAGACTAATCTGGGCGTTAGATATAGGCAGTGTACATTTTTCCCAGCGTGAAAATGAATAAAAGTATTTGATCAGCGTTCAGAAAAGTACCCTGGCCTTCAAACCCTCGGGAATTTTCGCACATTCCCGAGAAACGACGTAGAATGGACAGCTTAAAATTGTGCAGTTACGCAGTTATTATTTTTAAAATTATAAAAACCGTTCTCGGCACATGTGTACCTTGCCAAAGGTTCTGTAAGCAAGTGTCCTTTTTCGTAAAGGAATCTTATACAACAGTGATTTCTTCTCATTTCATAGGAGCGAGAAGCCTATAGAGAAGATTATTTTGGGTGACATTTTCCTAGGAATAGACAATACCAGAGTATGAATCTCAGTGCACTGTGGAACGCATGATACATACTGACAATCAGGACAACATGTGGAGTAGACATAAAGGTTGGATGTGGTTATGTAGCCCCACCTGAAATAAACAAACCCCAGTCAACCCTAATAGGGGACCGATTGT